TTGTACCTGGTAGGTTCGTTGATAATTTGTGTGAGATTGAGGGCATCTAGTTTAGATTGTAGGTTGGTCGGGGTGTTAAGCATATCCCAGTTTAGGTCACCAAGCAGTACGAACTCTGAGGATAGATGGGGGCAATCAGTTCACATATGGTGTCCAGGGCACAGCTCAGGGCTGAGGGGGGTCTGTAGCAAGCGGCAACAGTGAGAGACTTATTTCTGGAAAGGTGGATTTTTAGAAGTAGAAGCTCAAACTGTTTGGGCACAGACCTGGATAGTATGATAGAGCTCTGCAGGCTATCTCTACAGTAGATTGCAACTCCACCCCCTTTGGCAGTTCTATCGAGACTGAAAATGTTGTAGTTGGGGATGGACATTTCTTAATTTTTGGTGGCCTTCCTAAGCCAGGATTCAGACACTGCTAGAACATCAGGGTTGGCGGAGTGTGCTAACGCAGTGAATAACTCAAACTTAGGGAGGAGGCTTCGGATGTTAACGTGCAAGAAACCAAGGCTTTTACGATTACAGAAGTCAACAAATGATAACGCCTGGGGAGTAGGAGTGATACTGGGGGCTGCAGGGCCTGGGTTAACCTCTACATCACCAGAGGAACAGAGGAGGAATAGAATAAGGATACGGCTAAAGGCTTTAAGTACTGGTCTTCTAGTGCGTTGGGTACAGAGAAAAAAAGGGGCAGGTTTCCGGGCGTTGTAGAATAGATTCATGGCATTATGTACAGAAAAGGATATGGAAGGATATTAGTACAGTGGAGGTAAACCTAAGTGTTGGGTAACGATGAAAGAGATAGCATCACTGGAGGCACCGATTGAGTCGGTCTCCGCGTGTATGGGGGGTGGGACAAAGGAGCTATCTAAGGCAGGTTTAGCTGGGCTGGGGGATCTACAGTGAAATAGTACAATAAGAAATAACCGAAACAGCAATAAGCAAGGCATATTGACATGGGAGAGAGGCATAAAGCAATCACAGGTGTTAATCGAGAGAGCTAAGACAACAGCTGGTAATGACGACACAGTTTGGGCTGAGGCTAAACATAAACAGGATGCGGTACCGTATAAAGGAACAGTCCAGCAGGCATCAGCTGTATAGCTGAGTTATCATAAGGTCCGGTGAACAGCAATAGGATAGTTCGGAGGTAGTTCGGGGGCTGCTATAGCACTAGTGAGCAAGAGGCCACGGCTAGCGTGTGCTAGCGGGCCGGGGCTAGCAGATGGATCTTCGTGGTCGACGTCGTAATGGGAAGCCTGTTGTAACCACATCAGACGATTTCGTCGGCAGACCAGTCGTGTTGGATTGGCGGGCCTCCGTGTCAACACTAGGAGGTCCCGTCCGGTTGACAGAGAGGTAGATAGCCGGGAGATGGGCCTGGCTCAAGGCTAACTCAGGGCTGATTATCCAACCACAAATGTCCATTTGGTTGCAGCTAGCTAGTAGCGATGAATCCGGTGTTAAAGGTTCAGTGATTCCGGCAGAAAAACCGATATGTTCAGGGTCGATAACGCGCTGTGCAGACAGTGCAGACTGGCCGAATAATAGTACAGGCTAGAGCTGGCTGGCTGGTAGGTAGTGCAGGCCACGGCCACAGACAATAGTGAAGACCGCTAACGGTGGCTAGTAGCAAGTAGCTAGTTAGCTGGCTAGCGATGATCCGGTGTTAAGGTCCAGTGATTCAGTGGTTCCGGCAGAAAATCCGATATGCTCTGGCTCGATAGCTCGATGTGCAGACTGTGCAGACTGGCCGACAATTGTCCAGGCTAGAGCTGGCTGGTAGGTAGTGCAGGCCACGGACAATGGTGAAGACCGCTAACGGTGGCTAATAGCAAGTAGCTAGTTAGCTGGCTAGCTGGCTAGTTTCAGCCAGAGGTTCTGGATAAAAATGTATGAAGAAACAACAGAATCCGTTCCACATTGGGTGAGGCAGGTTGCAGGAAAGTATATTTAGTTAAAGGATGGAAAGTGAGATTGAGAAATATATACGAAAAAGACCAAAAAACTAAAAACAGGCTATTTACATAAGGACACTACAGAAAACACGACCGCACTGCAATGCCATCTTGGATCACAACACAACTGATTGGCTCAAACGCATTAAAAAGGAAAGAAATTCCACAAAATAACTTTTAACAAGGCACACCTGTTAATTGAAATGCATTCCAGGTGACTACCTCATGAAGCTGGTTGAGAGAATGCCAGGTTTGTGCAAATCTGTCATCAAGGCAAAGGGTGGCTATTTGAAGAATCTCAAATCTCAAATATATTTTGATTTGTTTAAAATTTTTTGGTTACTACATGATTTCGTATTTGTTATTTCATAGTTTTGATGTCTTCACTATTATTCTACAATGTAGAAAATAGTAAAAATAAAGAAAAACCCTGGAATGAGTAGGTATGTCCAAACTTTTGACTGGTACTGTATATTATATATAAGATGCGTAGTATACATTAGACAGTATATATTAGATGTGTAATATACATTAGACAGTATATATTAGATGTGTAATATACATTAGACTATATATATTAGATGTGTAGTATACATTAGACAGTATATATTAGATGTGTAGTATACATTAGACAGTATATATTAGATGTGTAGTATACATTAGACAGTATATATTAGATGTGTAGTATACATTAGACAGTCTATATTAGATGTGTAGTATACATTAGACAGTATATATTAGATGTGTAGTATACATTAGACAGTCTATATTAGATGTGTAGTATACATTAGACAGTATATATTAGATGTGTAGTATACATTAGACAGTATATATTAGATGTGTAGTATACATTAGACAGTCTATATTAGATGTGTAGTATACATTAGACAGTATATATTAGATGTGTAGTATACATTAGACAGTATATATTAGATGTGTATGCATGTGTCTCTTCACAGTCCCCGCTGTTCCATAAGGTGTATTTTTATCTGTTTTATTAATCTGATTCTACTGCTGGCATCAGTTACCTGATGTAGTCATGGCTCTATGTAGTACTGTGCGCCTCCCATAGTCTGTTCTGGACTTGGGGACTGTGAAGAGACCTCTGGTGGCATGTCTTGTGGTGTATGCATGGATGTCTGAGCTGTGTGCTATCTTTACTGATTTCTGCAGCATTAGTAAAGATTTGAGTCTCATAGCAAAGGGTCTGAATACTTATGTAAATAAGGTATCTGTTTTTTTATTTTGAATACATTTGCACAAAAAAATTGATGAGGAAAAAAATCAATTTAATCAATTTTAGAATAAGGCTGTAATGAAAAAAGTCAAGGGGTCTGAATACTTTCTGAATGCACTGTGTGTGTGTGTGTGTGTGTGTATATACACACACACACACACACATCTACTAATATTGTACAATCTGTGTATCGCTTCATTGGCCTGGGCTATTGTTTGTTTGAATTCAAGACCAGACTGATCTCCACTCATTTCAGTCATTTGTGTTGTATTAAAAAAGATTCAGCTGTCTTCTGTCATGTAAATGACGTAGAATTGCATGAAATGGGTTTTTAAAAGGCCAATTTTTGGGGGGAACCTGCTAATAACTGTTCCTAAAGCCCAGGGGCCTATGATTTCTCTATCCAGCCATGGGGGAACCTGCTAATAACTGTTCCTAAAGCCCAGGGGCCTATGATTTCTCTATCCAGCCATGGGGGAACCTGCTAATAACTGTTCCTAAAGCCCAGGGGCCTATGATTTCTCTATCCAGCCATGGGGGAACCTGCTAATAACTGTTTCCTAAAGCCCAGGGGCCTATGATTTCTCTATCCAGCCATGGGGGAACCTGCTAATAACTGTTTCCTAAAGCCCAGGGGCCTATGATTTCTCTATCCAGCCATGGGGGAACCTGCTAATAACTGTTCCTAAAGCCCAGGGGCCTATGATTTCTCTATCCAGCCATGGGGGAACCTGCTAATAACTGTTCCTAAAGCCCAGGGGCCTATGATTTCTCTATCCAGCCATGCAGGTTATGGGTTAGAGGAGACCATGTGTTAAGGTCTTACAGGCTGCGTTTACACAGGCAGCCCAGTTCTGGTCTTTTTCCACTAAGCAGATCAGCTCTGAAAAAGATCTATTGTGAAAATATCTGATTGGTCAAAAGTCTGATGTGACTAAATGCAGCCACAGAGGGCCAGAAATAATCTGAAGTACCCAAAAAGATCACTAGATGTCATCTGTTAAAATTCCCCAAAACCTCTGTTACCAAAATTCTGATAGTTTAATGGTAAACTTTGAAAGTTTCCAGTAATATACCTTCCCTTTGCAACTCTAAACCTCCCCAGCGTTTCTAACGTAGTCCTGGAGACCCAAGGGGTGCCGTAACACTACACAGCTGATTCAAATAACCAACTCATCGTCAAGCTTTGATTATTTGAATCAGTCATGTAGTGCTAGGGCAAAAACCTAAATGTGCGGCTCTTGGGGTCCCCAGGACAGAGTTTGGGAAGCGCCGTCCTACCCATCCATTACAGCTCATTTCTATACCACACTTCTAGAACAGCTCCACTACATTACATCCTATACTGCACACCCAGGGCCCATATCTGCTAAATGGCATATTATGATTATTATTATATTATCATCCGCAAAGGCTGCATTTACACAGGCAGCCCAGTTCGGAACTTTATTTTATTTGTGATTGGTCAAAAGACCAATAGTGGAAAAATTATCAGAATTGGGCTACTTATGTAAACGCAGCCTAAGACTAATAGTCTGCTAATTGTCACCCTCTCCTTTCTACCTCCATCCCCTGAACATTTGACTCTGTCCCTGTCGGCTATCAGTCCTCTCTCGCTCTCCCCCTTCAGCTGAACATCTTGCCGAGTCTCTGTCCCTGTCGGCTATCAGTCCTCTCTCGCTCTCCCCCTTCAGCTGAACATCTTGCCGAGCCTCTGTCGGCTATCAGTCCTCTCTCGCTCTCCCCCTTCAGCTGAACATCTTGCCGAGCCTCTGTCGGCTATCAGTCCTCTCTCGCTCTCCCCCTTCAGCTGAACATCTTGCCGAGCCTCTGTCCCAGTCTGCTATCAGTCTCTCGCTCCCTCCTCCCCACCTCTCTCAGTCCTCTCAGGGCGGAGGGAGAGTCATTCTGAAGCTCCAGTAGTTTCCTGAAGGCCCTGTCTGCCTCCTCCAGCTCCCCTGCTTCCAGGCAGGCCTGCCCAAGGCGGTACCAGGCCTTCAGGCCCTGGGGCTCCAGCAGTGTGGACCTGGGGGTAAAAAAAAAGGGATAGTTACATATTGGGATATTATTTTTGACAATATATCTCAATATTATTTTAGCATTAGTCAGCTGTCCCTGCCCAAAACTCCAGTAATTTTTCCATGTTCTCCATTTTCTTTTGAAATAGGGAACCAACATGTTCTTCCATGACTGATCAAAATAATTTTCTCATGCTCCCTCGTCTCTCTGCAGCAGACACGGCGAGCAATATGTTTGGAATGTCGAATCGTAATAAAATCGGTCCAAAATAGGAATGGAAGACCCAGAGTTACCTCTGCTGCAGAGGATAAGTTCATTAGAGTTACCAGCCTCAGAAATTGCAGCCCAAATAAATGCTTCACAGAGACACATCTCAACATCAACTGTTCAGAGGAGACTGTTTGAATCAGGCCTTCATGGTCGAATTGCTTCATGGTCGAACCACTACTAAAGGACACCAATAAGAAGAGACTTGCTTGGGCCAAGAAACACAAGCAATGGACATTAGACCGGTGGAAATTTGTCCTTTGTTCTGGAGTCCAAATTGGAGATTTTTGGTTCCAACTGCTGTGTCTTTGTGAGACCCAGTGTGGGTGAACGGATGATCTCCCCATGTGTAGTTCCCACCGTGAAGCATGGAGGAGAAGGTGTTATGGTGTGGGGGTGCTTTGCTGGTGACACTGTCTGTGATATATTTAGAATTCAAGGTACACTTAACCAGCATGGCTACCACAGCATTCTGCAGCGATACGCCATCCCATCTGGTTTGGGCTTAGTGGGACTATCATTTGTTTTTCAACAGGGCAATGACCCAACACACCGCCAGGCTGTGTAAGGGCTATTTGACCAAGAAGGAGAGTGATGGAGTGCTGCATCAGATGACCTGGCCTCCACAATCAACCGACCTCAACCCAATTGAGATGGTTTGGGATGAGTCGGACCGCAGAGTGAAGGAAAAGCAGCCAACAAGTGCTCAGCATATGTGGGAACTCCTTCAAGACTGTTAGAAAAGCATTCCAGGTGATGCTGGTTGAGAGAATGCCAACAGTGTGCAAAGCTGTCATCAAGGCAAAGGGTGGCTACTTGAAGAATCTCAAATATTAAATATATTTTGATTTGTTTAACACTTTTTTGGTTACTACATGGTTCCATATGTGTTATTTCATAGTTTTGATGTCTTCACTATTATTCTACAATGTAGAAAATATATAAAAAATAAACAAAAACCCTTGAATGAGAAGGTGTTCTAAAATGTTTGACTGGTAGTGTACAGTTAACATCCTGTCTCAGACGTAAAAAATAAAAAGCCCTCAGAAAGATGGTTTTTGAACACGGTCAAACCAAGGCTAAAGAGGAGACCCAGGTTATAGTGAACACTCAAAATGACACACGCTCACTATGTGTTCCAGGACCTCCTACAAATTAAGCACTGGTGAGGTCCCTGGCAATTCCCAGCCTTACCTGGAGGCACACCCCCTGGCCCGGGACCACTGGCCTAGTCTCAGCCTTACCTGGAGGCACACCCCCTGGCCCGGGACCACTGGCCTAGTCTCAGCCTTACCTGGAGGCACACCCCCTGGCCCGGGACCACTGGCCTAGTCTCAGCCTTACCTGGAGGCACACCCCCTGGCCCGGGACCACTGGCCTAGTCTCAGCCTTACCTGGAGGCACACCCCTGGCCTGGACACTGGCCGTAGTCAAGCCTTACCTGGAGGCACACCCCCTGGCCGGACCACTGGCCTATTCTCAGCCTTACCTGGAGGCACACACCCTGGCCCGGGACCACTGGCCTAGTCTCAGCCTTACCTGAGGCACACCCCCTTGCCCGGGCCCACTGCCTAGTCCCAGCCTTACATGAGGACCACCCCTGGCCCAGGACAATGGCCTAGTCCCAGCCTTACCTGGAGGCACACCCCCTGGCCGGACCACTGGCCTAGTCTCAGCCTTACCTGGAGGCACACCCCCTGGCCCGGGACCACTGGCCTAAGTCTCAGCCTTACCTGGAGGCACACCCCTGGCCCGGACCACTGGCCGTAGTCCAGCCTTACCTGGAGGCACACCCCCTGGCCCGGGACCACTGGCCTAGTCCCAGCCTTACCTGGAGGCACACCCCCTGGCCCGGGACCACTGGCATAGTCTCAGCCTTACCGGAGGCCACACCCACCCTGCCACTGGCCTAGTCTCAGCCTTACCTGGAGCACCCCCACTGGCCCGGGACCACTGGCCTAGTCTAAGCCGTACCTGGAGGCACACCCCCTGGCCCGGGACCACTGGCCTAGTCTCAGCCTTACCTGGAGGCACACCCCCTGGCCCGGGACCACTGGCCTAGTCTCAGCCTTACCTGGAGGCACACCCCCTGGCCCGGGACCACTGGCCTAGTCTCAGCCTTACCTGGAGGCACACCCCCCTGGCCCGGGGACCACTGGCCATCATAGTCTCAGCCTTACCTGGAGGCAACAACCCCCTGGCCCGGGACCCTGGCCTAGTCTCAGCCTTACCTGGAGGCACACCCCCTGGCCCGGGGACCACTGGCCTAGTCTCAGCCTTACCTGGAGGCACACCCCCTGGCCCGGGACCACTGGCCTAGTCTCAGCCTTACCTGGAGGCACACCCCCTGGCCCGGGACCACTGGCCTAGTCTCAGCTGACACAGGGACAGGTTTGAGTAGAGAGAGGCCTTGGTGGAACGATATTGACAATCTGTAGGGGCTTCAAGGCTATCCTTCTTCTCCGACTCCTCCTCCGACTCCTCCTCTATTGGAGTCATCTCCTCCCCCTCTCCCCGGGTGTGTAGTTTTAGGGTGATGAGGAGTTTGAGGGCTCGGCTGTAGCTGTCTGCCGCCCCCCACATGTCCCCCGCCCTGAACCTGTCCCCCCCCCTCTGCTTGTGTGACATCACCCAGCCCCACTTCTCTCCAGCTGATAGCTGCCAGGACTCATGGCCAGGAGAGAAGGACTGGAGCTCTACTGTTATACACAGGGACTGGTCAGGATCCACTCTCTTCTGCTCCTCCTGTCCTCCCCCGGGTCGGTCTGTTAGTGGGGTCAGCAGTACCTGGGGACAAGAGGGTCAAAGGCGAAAGGTCAAGACCAGCTTTATGAAGGGCGAAAGGTCAAGACCAGTTTTATGAAGGGTGAATGGGTAACAGCAGGTACATGCTGATTCAATGTGGTGTTATTGGTGTGTGAGCCTCTCCTACCTCACACCTCTCTCCAGCTCTCATTCCCTCAACACACCCCTCTGTGATGTCACACTGCCCCTCCCCCAGCCTCAGAATGATCCAATCACCAATCGGGACCTGCAGCATGGTACTCTGGGAGCGCTGTAGGGGCGTGACCTGGGCATCTGAAAGGACTGTGATTGGCAGGTCAGGTTTGAGTGACAGCTCCGGGTCAGTTGTAGGTTCTCCTTGGCGTTGAACTCTGACCCGACACAGAGAGCCAATTCCAGGGTAGACGTCTCCAGACAGGTCAGCTGGCTCCGCCCCTCGTTTCCTCCTCTGACGAAGCTCCCACAAGCCCCTGGGGCACACAGACACCCAGGAAGTGGCCTCATCGCCTTCCGTCTCCGCTGACTGGGAGGTCTTCATCACTAGAGAAGACAGGGAGAGGAGGAGGAGAGAAGACAGGGAGAGGGAGAGGAGGAGAGAAGAAGCCAGGGAGAGGAGGAGGAGGAGAGAAGAAGAAAGGGAGAGGAGGAGGAGAGAAGAAGACAGGGAGAGGAGGAGGAGGAGAGAAGAAGAAAAGGGAGAGGAGGAGGAGAGAAGAAGACAGGGAGGGAGGAAGAGGAAGGAGAGAAGACGACAGGGAGAGGAGGAGGAGAGAAGACGACAGGGAGAGGAGGAGGAGAGAAGACAGGGAGAGGAGGAGGAGGAGAGAAGACAGGGAGAGGAGGAGGAGAGAGAGAAGACAGGGAGAGGAGGAGGAGGAGAGAAGACAGGGAGAGGAGGAGGAGGAGAGAAGACAGGGGGAGAGGAGGAGGAGAGAAGAAGACAGGGAGAGGAGGAGGAGAGAAGAAGCAGAGAGGGAGAGGAGAGAAGAAGACAGGGAGAGGAGGAGGAGGAGAGAAGACAGGGAGAGGAGGAGGAGAGAAGACAGGGAGAGGAGGAGGAGAGAAGAAGACAGGGAGAGGAGGAGGAGAGAAGAAGACAGGGAGAGGAGGAGGAGAGAAGAAGACAGGGAGGGAGAGGAGGAGGAGGAAGAGACAGGAGGAGGAAGAGAAGACAGGGAGAGGAGGAGGAGAGAAGAAGACAGGGAGAGGAGGAGGAGAGAAGAACAGGGAGAGGAGGAGGAGAGAAGACAGGAGAGGAGGAGGAGAGAAGACCGGGAGAGGAGGAGGTGAGAAGAAGCAGAGAGGGAGAGGAGAGATATTCCCATAGCATGGTAACCAACCCAACAACATAATATAGTAACATAGTAACCTAAACAACATGTAATGAGTGTCCAAGTGTCTTTTTTATAAACTAGCTAGCTATCTGGATGGCTGCCTACTAGGGCTGTGACGGTCATGGAATTTTTGGTAATGGTTATTTGTCAGGCAAATGTCCACAGTCCCTATACCGCCAGAGCTGCGCGCAGAAATATCAGCCCACAGAGAGAAGCACGAGAAACATCAGCCCACAGAGAGAAGCACCAGAAACATCAGCCCACAGAGAGAAGCACCAGAAATATCAGCCCACAGAGAGAAGCACCAGAAATATCAGCCCACAGAGAGAAGCACCAGAAATATCAGCCCACAGAGAGAAGCACCAGAAATATCAGCCCACAGAGAGAAGCACCAGAAATATCAGCCCACAGAGAGAAGCACCAGAAATATCAGCCCACAGAGAGAAGCACCAGAAATATCAGCCCACAGAGGAAGCACCAGAAATATCAGCCCACAGAGAGAAGCACGGAAGAAACATCAGCCCACAGAGAGAAGCACCAGAAACATCAGCCCACAGAGAGAAGCACCAGAAATATCAGCCCACAGAGAGAAGCACGAGAAATATCAGCCCACAGAGAGAAGCACGAGAAATATCAGCCCACAGAGAGAAGCACGAGAAACATCAGCCCACAGAGAGAAGCACCAGAAATATCAGCCCACAGAGAGAAGCACCAGAAATATCAGCCCACAGAGAGAAGCACGAGAAATATCAGCCCACAGAGAGAAGCACCAGAAATATCAGCCACCAGAGATATCAGCCCACAGAGAGAAGCACCAGAAATATCAGCCCACAGAGAGAAGCACGAGAAATATCAGCCCACAGAGAGAAGCACGAGAAACATCAGCCCACAGAGAGAAGCACCAGAAATATCAGCCCACAGAGAGAAGCACGAGAAATATCACCCCACAGAGAGAAGCACGAGAAATATCAGCCCACAGAGAGAAGCACGAGATTGAACTTCACTCAACTTTCTAGAGCAGTGGTCACCAACCAGTCCATCTCCAAAGATTTCTGTAAAAAACCCAAAGATAAAGCCTCTGCCTTCCCGGCAGACCCAGAGAGCAAATCAAGTGCACTATAGGCCTACCACTGGCCAATCAGATGGCTCAGATGACCGTGTCCGCAGTAATGTAACAGGCATAAAAGAAAGCTACAGCAAAGTTGATACTGTGAGATTTCAAAACGTTTAAAGCCATGACTAGAGAGAGACTGTCAACGAATACAGCAAAGAGCTGCTGTTTTTATGAGTGAGTTCATGTTTAAGTTCTTACTCAGGCACTGTTCAACACTTTTGTATTTCAAACGACTTTTATAAAGCCATTAAAATGACACGGTTCTTCCTATTTCCACTCAGCGCTACAACAAACGCACTGCAAGCAGTAATGAATGAGAAGGAAAGTGGATCATAGGCTTACGTGGTTTTAATTATTAGTAGAGGCTTAGGTGTTTTTAATTAAAGGAATATTCACCTTTCTCTGTTCAATAGCAGTAACATGAATTTGTACATGATGCAGAAATAATACGGTGCGACTCGATTTTTTGCCATCAGCTGGAAGACGGTTTCCCTTTATGGTCAGTGACAGCGGAGGAAAGGGAGAGCGGAGGGATGTTGAGAGGCGTGTCGGGAGGAAAGGGAGAGCGTAGGGATGTTGAGAGCGTGACAGTGGAGGAAAGGGAGAGCGAGGATGTTTGAGAGGCGGTGGTCGGGTCAGTGGAGGAAAGGGAGAGCGGAGGGATGTTGAGAGGCGGTGTCAGTGGAGGAAAGGGAGAGCGGGGGATGTTGAGAGGCGTGTCAGTGGAGGAAAGGGAGAGCGGGGGATGTTGAGAGCGGGTGTCAGTGGAGGAAAGGGAGAGACGGAGGGATGTGAGAGGCGGGTAGTGGAGGAGGAAGGGAGAGCGGAGGGATGTTGAGAGGCGGTGTCAGTGGAGGAAAGGGAGAGAGGAGGGATGTGAGAGGGGCTGTCCAGTGGAGGAAAGGGAGAGGAGAGGGATGTTTGAGAGCGGTTGTCAGTGGAGGAAAGGGAGAGCGGAGGGATGTTGAGAGGCGGTGTCAGTGGAGGAAAGGGAGAGCGGAGGGATGTTGAGAGACGGTGTCAGTGGAGGAAAGGGAGAGCGGAGGGATGTTGAGAGGCAGTGGAGGAAAGGGAGAGCGGAGGGATGTTGAGAGGCGGTGTCAGTGGAGGAAAGGGAGAGCGGAGGGATGTTGAGAGGCGGTGTCAGTGGAGGAAAGGGAGAGCGGGGGGATGTTGAGAGGCGGTGTCAGTGGAGGAAAGGGAGAGCGGAGGGATGTTGAGAGGCGGTGTCAGTGGAGGAAAGGGAGAGCGGAGGGATGTTGAGAGGCGGTGTCAGTGGAGGAAAGGGAGAGAGACGGAGGGAGGTTGAGAGGCGGTGGCGGTGTCAGTGGAGGAAAGGGAGAGCGGAGGGATGTTGAGAGGCGGTGTGTCGTGAGTGGAGGAAGGGAGGGGCGGGGGGAGGGATGAGGGTTGAGAGGCGGTTGTCAGTGTGGAAACGGGAAAAGCGGCAGGTATGTTGAGAGCGTGTCAGTGGAGGAAAGGGAGAGCGGGGGATGTTGAGGGTGTCATGGGGGAAGGAGACGGAGGGATGTGAGAGTCCATATTAGCAGTGTTTGATGGCAATCGGTAGGGTTACCTAAGCCGGTTTTGCAGTTGTGGAACGGTAGGTTTCCTCTAGCTGCAAAGCCAGGGCCTGATGGCATTTCGGTAGAGGTATACTCTAAGCTCCATTATTAGCATGTTTGATGGCATATCGGTAGAGGTATACTCTAAGCTCCATTATTAGCATGTTTGATGGCATATCGGTAGAGGTATACTCTAAGCTCCATTATTAGCATGTTTGATGGCATATCGGTAGAGGTATACTCTAAGCTCCATTATTAGCATGTTTGATGGCATATCGGTAGAGGTATACTCTAAGCTCCATTATTAGCATGTTTGATGGCATATCGGTAGAGGTTTACTCTAAGCTCCATTATTAGCATGTTTTAACCACTCCTATAGAAAGGGTTTTGTTGTGAGGATACACAATCAATAGACCATTTGTTCTGGCATTGCCCTCAAATCAAATCAAATGTTATTTGCCACATGCGCCAAATACAACAGGTGTCGACATGACAGTGAAATGCTTACTTACAAGCCCTTAACCAACAATGCAGTTTTTTTTTAAAGAAAAAAAGTAAAAGAAAAAAGTGTTAAGTAAAAAATTTAAAGCAACAGTAAAGTAAAATAACAGTAGGGAGGCTATATATACAGGGGGGGGTACCGGTACAGAGGCTATATACAGGGGGGTACCGGTACAGAGGCTATATACAGGGGGGGGGTACCGGTACAGAGTCAATGTGCGGGGGCACCGGCTAGTTGAGGTAGTTGAAGTAATATGTACATGTGGGTAGAGTTAAAGTGACTATGCATAAATAATTAACAGAGTAGCAGCAGCGTAAAAAGGATGGGGTGGGGGGGCAGTGCAAATAGTCCGGGTAGCCATGATTAGCTGTTCAGGAGTCTTATGGCTTGGGGGTAGAAGCTGTTGAGAAGCCTTTTGGACTTAGACTTGGCGCTCCGGTACCGCTTGCCGTGCGGTAGCAGAGAGAACAGTCTATGACTAGGGTGGCTGGAGTCTTTGACAATTTTTACGGCCTTCCTCTTGACACCACCTGGTATATAGGTCCTGGATGGCAGGAAGCTTGGCCCCAGTGATGTACTGGGCCGTACGCACTACCCTCTGTAGTGCCTTGCGGTCGGAGACCGAGCAGTTGCCATACCAGGCAGTGATGCAACCAGTCAGGATGCTCTCGATGGTGCAGCTGTAGAACTTTGAGGCTCTGAGGACCCATGCCAAATATTTTCAGTCTCCTGAGGGGGAATAGGCTTTGTCGTGCCCTCTTCACGACTGTCTCAACCAGTTCCACTACAGCCCCGTCGATGAGAATGGGGGCGTGCTCAGTCCTCTTTTTTTTCCTGTAGTCCACAATCATCTCCTTTGTCTTGATCACATTGAGGGAGAGGTTGTTATCCTGGCACCACACGGCCAGGTCTCTGACCTCCTCCCTATAGGCTGTCTCATCGTTGTCGGTGATCAGGCCTACCACTGTTGTGTCATCGGCAAACTTAATGATGGTGTTGGAGTCATGCCTGGCCGTGGAGTCATGGGTGAACAGGGAGTACAGGAGGGGACTGAGCACGCACCCCTGACGGGCCCCCGTGTTGAGGATCAGCGTGGCAGATGTGTTGTTACCTACCCTACTTCAACGGTAAGTAAATTGTCTGTGTCTGTAGATAAATCAGACTTTTTTTTGTCAGGTTAGAGTTTGTTTGTGATGTAGCCGGATCTATCCATGATGGAGTATGTTGTTCCTCCATATCATAAAGCTGTTGGTACTCGTTGATTTCCCTCAGGATCTCCTTGGTATCCAGGTTGGCAGAGAACTGCAAGCAGTTGTTGAAACGTTTTTTTTTGTTTGTTGATAATCCATGTTTAACCTGCAGATCGATGTGCCTCACAGAGAGGAGCTTGTGACAAAATGTGTAGTTCTGTATGACAGCCACATTAGCAGCTAATTAGCATTATTATGATTTTTTTTTTTGGGGGGGGGGGTAATTACAGGCAAATATATTGATAAAAGTTACCTTGTCCGAGAGAGATTTGTGCGTTTATCAAAACGTCACGCCAGGGTAAGCCTGCCTATCCATTATGTTGATTCCTGCTATGAAAGTATCTGTCCCCCCTTGTTTTGCTGTTGGGTTCTGAGCCACTCTCAATTCCTCTCCCCAATGTGAGTAAGGAGAAGGGAGAGATGCATTCTGAGAAGCACAGGCATATCGAATCAAGGTTTATTGGTTGCGTACACATTTTTGCAGAGGTTATTTGCGCATCTGGCCCTTTAATTGTGCATCCGCCCTTTAATTGTGCATCTGGCCCTTTAATTGTTCATCTGGCCCTTTAATTGTGCATCTGGCCCTTTAATTGTGCATATAGCGAGTGAGGAATGTGTATTCTAATGTTCTGGTCTAGTGATGCTTCTGGAATGTGTATTCTAATGTGCTGGTCTAGTGATGCTTCTGGAATGTGTATTCTAATGTTCTGGTCTAGTGATGCTTCTGGATGTGTATTAATTGTTTCAGTCAGAGCTCTGGAATGCTGCTATTCTATGTTCTGTCTAGTGAGTTCTGTTCCCCTTTTTCTGTTGGGTTCTGAGCACTCTAATTCTGCTAGAATGTTGGAATGTGTATTAAGGCGGTCTAGTGATGCTTCTGGAAGCACGTGATTCTCAAGTTTATGGTCTAGTGAGCTTCTTGGCAAGTTATTTAGTCGCATAGTCCCTTCTGAATGTGTATTCTAATGTGCATCTGGCCTTATGTTCTGATGGCTTTAATTTGGCATCTGCCTTTGAATGTGCATTTATGTCGGTAGTGAGCTCGAATGTGTATTCTAATGTTCTGGTCTAGTGATGCTTCTGGAATGTGTATTCTAATGTTCTGGTCTAGTGATGCTTCTGGAATGTGTATTCTAATGTTCTGGTCTAGTGATGCTTCTGGAATGTGTATTCTAATGTTCTGGTCTAGTGATGCTTCTGGAATGTGTATTCTAATGTTCTGGTCTAGTGATGCTTCTGGAATGTGTATTCTAATGTTCTGGTCTAGTGATGTTCTGGAATGTGTATTCTAATGTTCTGGTCTAGTGATGCTTCTGGAATGTGTATTCTAATGTCTGGTCTAGTGATGCTTCTGGAATGTGTATTCTAATGTTCTGGTCTAGTGATGCTTCTGGAATGTGTATTCTAATGTTCTGGTCTAGTGATGCTTCTGGAATGTGTATTCTAATGTTCTGGTCTAGTGATGCTTCTGGAATGTGTATTCTAATGTTCTGGTCTAGTGATGCTTCTGGAATGTGTATTCTAATGTTCTGGTCTAGTGATGCTTCTGGAATGTGTATTCTAATGTTCTGGTCTAGTGATGCTTCTGTACTGCTGCTCAGTTCATGGCAAAGTTTGCAAATTACAAATAATAGATACAAATGATATACTTCCTCATGATATACTTCCTCATGATATACTTCCTCATGATATACTTCTGCCAGGTAAGCCTACTTTGCAGTTAACATTTAATTAAGAAGGTTTTGGGGAAAGTATTTCTGTCAACCCACAAGACTTATCACATCAACTGGCTACACACAGAGTGATAAACAAACGCGCGGTCCACACAGACAGGGGTAATATTGCTGGAAATAAATGGGCAGATAGTGTTAGGTTTGGCTTTTTAAGCCAATAGTGGCTATCCAGGGGTGGGATAATGTCAATGTTGAGTTGGTTAGATAGTAGCTGGGAGCTTGTGGTGTCTGATACTTGCGAGATTTGTTTATGACAGTTTGTGGTGGAACACGTGAAAAATGCATGTACATTCAGAATCGTTTGGTGAGCTACTCATTCGGTGACTGCGAGCGACTGGTAGCTGGCGATCGACCTGTTGGAGACCCCTGGTAGCGACTGGTAGCTGGCGATCGACCTGTTGGAGACCCCTGGTAGCGACTGGTAGCTGGCGATCGACCTGTTGGAGACCCCTGGTAGCGACTGGTAGCTGGCGATCGACCTGTTGGAGACCCCTGGTAGCGACTGGTAGCTGGCGATCGAACCTGTTGGAGACCCCTGGGTAAGCGACATGGGTAGCTGGCGATCGACCTGTTGGATACCCCTGGTATCGACTGGTAGCTGGCGATCGACCTGTTGAGAACCCCTGGTAAGCGACTGGTAGCTGGCGATCGACCTGTTGGAGACCCCTGGTAGCGACTGGTAGCTGACGATCGACCTGTTGGAGACCCCTGGTAGCGACTCTTAGCTGGCGATCGACCTGTTGGAGACCCCTGGTAGCGACTGGTGAGCTGGCGATCGACCTGTTGGAGACCCCTGGTAAGCGACCTAGCTGCGTCGACCTGTTGGAGACCCCTGGTAGCTGGGCGATCGACCTGTTGGAGACCCTGGTAGCTGGCGATCGAACGCTGTTGGAGGACCCCTGGTAGCTGGCGATCGACCTGTTGGAGACCCCTGGTAGCTGGCGATCGACCTGTTGGAGACCCCTGGTAGCTGGCGATCGACCTGTTGGAGACCCCTGGTAGCTGGCGATCGACCTGTTGGAGACCCCTGCTCTAAGAGCTTTACGCACCTGGATTGTTCAACATTTGCCCGTTATTCTTTTCAAAATTCTTCAAGCTCTGTCAAATTGGTTGTTGATCATTGCTAGACAACCATTTTCAGGTCTTGCCACGGATTTTCAAGTAGACTTAAGTCAAAACTGTAACTCTGCCACTCAGCAACATTCACCATCTTCATGGTCAGCAACTCCAGTGTATATTTGGCCTTGTGTTTTAGGTTATTGTCCTGCTAAAATGTAAATTCATCTACCAGTGTCTGGTGGAAAGCAGACAACCAGGTTTTCTAGGATTTTGCCTGTTCTCCATTCCATTAATGTTTTAATCCTGAAAAACTCCCCAGTCCTTAACGATGGCAAGCACACCCATAACATGATGCAGCCAACAGTGTGCTTGAAAATATGGAGAGTGGTACTCAGTAATGTGTTGTATTGGATTTGCCCCTAACATAAAACACTTTGAATTCAGTATAAAAAGTGAATTTGCTTTGCCACATTTTCTGCAGTATTACTTTGCCTTGTTGCAAACAGGATGCATGTTTTGGAATATTTGTATTCT